GATAGTGATTGTTTTCTCTCTTCTTTGTAACGAGTGGATTCTATTGGTGGCCTTGAAGCCTCTTTTTCCAGCATCTGTCGATTTTACTTGCGTCTGCAGAAATGTCGAGGTCAGAAATCTGAGCTGTAGGTAAAAGATTAGAAAGCATTTTATCTGAATGAAGAGATGAAGAAAATATTAGTCTGGAAGGAAAGCCCGAGAGCTGGAACAGTGTGAGCTGCAGTAGTTCTGCTAACATCTCTGCTCGGTTTGGTTCTCATTGGTACAAAATGACAGTAAATAACACCACTTACATGCGAGGCTACTGAAGTGTTCTTTCTCCACCGAGGAAACCTGTTCTTTATAAAATGATCCTGACAGATTCAAATCTCTGAGCCAAGTTTATCACTTAGGATCTGTGGTTTGATTTGATTTGACTGACAGGGTGCAGGAAACACAAGCAAAGCCAATACTGTCAATACTGTCATCAGACATCTGTTCAAACGTTAATAATTCTTGATTTGTGCATGGGAGAGGATATAACAACTTTTTCAAACAACTGCGGTTTTCATAGCGTGAACCCGACTGAAAGAGTTCTTGGCCTTTAAGCACGAGCTTAGTTCAGATCCAGCATCATTATCTCTGAGGGTCCTCACGCATGTGTGTCATTTATTGTGTGATTTTACTAACATGTGTCTTCTGACCTCTCGTGACAACAGATGACTTAACACACGATGCTATTGTACGCAATTCTTAATAAAAGCTGTTTTCTTTTCTCTCCCTCTCTCCTTCTTCCGTCCTGCTGCGTGAAACAACAGATCACTTGGGCATCGAGTTTATGGGTAAGGAAGCTTTTCTTGTCTTGCATCTGTCTGAGTCATAACTGTAAACATCACAGCTTTTCATATCGGATAAACAATACACTCCGAGGGCTCGGATACAGAACAAATTGTTCATAACAGCCAGCAAACGGCATAAGTTGGATGTGTCTAATTACATATGGCACCGTGACATCATTTGAAATGCAATCAGGAAAGCTGTGGTGAATACAAATATCTATAGTTATGCATTAACACATTAGCTGCCGTCAGCCGTGCGTGCTGCGCTGTATTTTACACGCCGTCTCAATCTGTTTTTATCCTCCTTACACATATGTACTTACGTATCTTTACTCCCCGCACCATTTCTATCTTTCTGCTTTCTTTCTCCCTCTCGCACTATCTCTCTCTTTCTCTCACAATTGCTTATGAAGTGTCCCACCAGAATACCAATGTGCTGCAGTCTCCTTGGAAACAGTGAGAACAGAGAGGCGTGCAGGGTGCAGTGAGGGAGTTTTTGTGATGTTGGCACCGTTACCAGTCGCACTCCTCATTAGTATGTGTGGGTATGTGTGCGCATGCATGGCACATGCTCAAAGTGTGTGTCTGAAGCCCTAATGCGAGTTTGATGAGATCCTTCCAGCGATTGTGTGTTGAACGTTAGCGCGCGTTTCCCGTGCGCACGCTGCGAGGCTGTGAAGGATAGATGCCAGCGGCTCCACCTCGTCTTCGCCAAGCTGCTCGCTCCCGGTTTTGGCTCTCGCGGACTCTGTGTCGGGTATCACAGCTGAAAAGCTAGTTAACGACGTGAAACTTGTTAACCAGAGCCCCTCGCTCTCTCTCAAAATGTGTCCTCTTTAGGTTAAAAAAAATCTGTAGTATCAAGGAAAATGCCCTTCCTCCTGTCTGGCTTTACAGCATCTACATGCTCAAAGTCAAATTTCACAAGAACAAGCACTGCTGCTTCTCTTTCAGCTGCCGTAGCAGTCCAACGAAGTAGAGCTTTTTTTAGAAAACCTGCTTAGACTATGCAAACTTGGCAGTGACAGATGATATTTTCTACAGAGCTATCTTGCAGGTTTCCCCATTTATATTCAGCGAGAGGTTTTATGCTTCTGCAACATTGTTCAGGCTGCCACATTTTCATTGCCGAGCTGACGTCTCTAGTCCTGCCAACGTCTTCCCCCGGCATTGTGTTAAGCAGCGGCTAGATAAGAACCTCCCACACTCAATCCTGGTGTGTCAGTGTCTGTGCCTTTGGAAGCTCTTTGAAGGAAAGAAATGCACAGACCTACTGTAATGCTCTTTGTCACAGATTATTGTCATTAATGCAACTGAGAAAATATACTTTACATAGTAGATTAAACTACAAACTGTCACTTGAACTGCCCCGTCCTTTCTGTCAATAGCAAGCGATAGCAAATCGTTATTTCACTCTAAGACACGTTGCATCAACAACAGGATGATTTATAGCTACCATTTGACCAAAAAGGCTCTGATCTGAGGATTAAAAAGAACCGATTTCAGTCGCTGCTGAGAAACTCGCCCTTAATAATAAATAAACAGATTTTTAGTTTGGTGTGAATTTAACATTCAAGTAAAAGGTTTGAGGGATTGCAGGGAGCTCTAGCATGAAGACATTAGTGTTTGAGATGAGATTATAAAAAAAAAATGTAATCTCGGGCCCCAACCTACACCAGATGTCACTGGCATCACTATAAACAGCAGTGAAGTCGCATTTAAACACATGAGGTAGCCGTAAGCATCATTTGACAACTGTGGAGAAGCGACACATTTATTCCAGACCAGAAATGTTACCAGCGACTGAAAACAAATGTAAAAAGTGAGGAAAAAGTCAAAGAAGTCCATGAGTGCAAAACACAAATCACCCAAAAACATGACATGGTCTGACTCACAAACCCATGACTTTGAAACTGCCGCCCCTCAGGCAGACTTTGTCACTCTTTTAAAAGAGAACTTTTATCTCTTTGTGTCCAATGTTGCCTCTGCCAGCGCGTCTCTGTGATGCCAGCAGCTGCTGACAGAACGGCAGTACTCGACTCCCAAAGATGAGAATGTGTTGGTCAAACTTGGCTTTCTTTGCCCTACAAACAAGTAAATATTAACATGTGGGGTTTCATTTTTGCTATATAACTTTGCACTGTCCACTTTCTGCTGTAGCAAAACAAATTTCCCACGTGTGGGATAATAAAGGTTATCTTATCTTAACCCAGTTATGGTTAGTTTTAGAGATGGCACGATACCACTTTTTTGTGTCCGATACCGATATCATAAATTTGGATATCTGCCGATACCGATATGAATCCGATATAGTGTGTTTTTTAATCAATAAAACTGTTTTTTTAATATCTTGCTGCTTTTTGTATAAGTTCATACTCAAGTTAAATAACAACAACAACACTAAAGCTATTCTGTTATACCTGTATGTAAAAAAACCACACTGCACCCAAAATGTTTCATAGATCAGCAACACTGATCAATCTAATAAACTTAAACCTACTCCATCCTCCCTATTCTGGTATTTTAAAGAGTACTTAGCAGAAATATTAAGCAACCTAACTAATAGGGTTGCAAACTCCCAGCAAAATAAAATAGGGAACCACCC